TCACCGGAGATCTGGGATCTGTCATTCTGTCCGCATCCTGCATGTGAGGAATATGTCCACTCGCCAGCGTCGCCCCACTCAAGCCCATGAGAAGGATCTGGGTACCAGCCAGCCTGCTGTGGTGGCAGCTGCGGTGTTAGAACAGCCTTCCCAAGTCATCAGAAAGCTTCTTCACTGGGATGATCTGCCCCATTGGCAGCGCGACAACCAGCACATCCACACGGGCTATCGGCCGGCTTCATTCTCTCTTCTGGTCTCCCTGCAGTCCTTGGCCTACCTTCACAATGAAACGGTCAACATCTACACGCATCTGCTGCCGTCCCTACTGGCCGTTCCAGCGGCTGGGCTTCTCTATCGGGCACTAGCTCCGCGATATGAGAATGCCACCCAGGCGGATCTGATTGCTTTTGGATGCTTCTTCGCAGGGGCGGCCTTCTGTTTGGGCATGTCTGCAACATATCATACCATTTCGAACCATTCCCCCCTCGTGGCCCGCATCGGAAACACGTTTGACTATGTTGGTATCGTAGGGCTTATCGTGGGCAGCTTCGTGCCTAGCGTGTACTTTGGATTCTACTGTATGCCTGATCTGCAACGGTTGTATTGGACGATGATCTGCGCCCTCGGTCTTGGCTGCATCCTTGTTTCGATCTTCCCTCATTTCCGGACGCCTCGGTGGCGGCCATTCCGTGCGGCCATGTTTGTCGGCATGGGTCTGTCAGCGGTGTTCCCCGTGATCCACGGCTTACGCTTGTACGGTCTGGAGCAGATGACACGCCAAATCGGGCTCGGTTGGCTACTTCTCCAAGGTTTTCTGTACATTTTGGGAGCAACCATCTATGCGGCCCGGGTGCCGGAGCGCTTGCGACCAGGCCACTTCGATCTCTGGGGCAGCTCCCACCAGATCTTTCATGTGCTGGTGGTCTGCGCCGCCATTGCTCATCTGACCGGGTTGCTAAAGGCATTTGATTACAGACACAGCGGCATTGCAGACAGTTGTCTTGGGGCCGCGCAGTGATTCGCCCGCAGAGCCTTGGGACATCGCACAGGCAGGACGTCCTGTGGAGGGGGGGAGAAGGGGGGAGGGGGGCGCGCGGCGCCCCCTAAACATCACCACCTGTAGCCATAACTTAATCGCCTCAACAAGTAATAGAGATGACATGATGATGATGCTGACGTCTTCACGGCTGATACGAGACATGTCTAACCTTGAATTTCACATGCTGACCATTGCAACATGGCAAAGCCAGAGATGAGAGAAGCATTGCAGAAACCTTCTTTCCCCCAAGAAGGCAATAAGAAAAGGGAAAGAGGAACAAAAAATACGCAAACGAGGGGAAGTCCAGGATACAATCATAAGAATAGACCTTGGGTCTTGCGACAGCATGAACGTTCACCGCTTGCCTGGGCATTTCAAACCGGGCAGGCGAATAGGGATGCGCTCCCGCATCGATTTACAGCTCACATGGTGTGCTGGCCTGCATACCAATAGAATCACACTAGACGGCATGCTGCGGTTCCTCATTGGATGCTACGTCAGACACAATAGTCTTGCATCGTCGTGGCCCCTTCGAGCACATTAGAGTTATTCGGCCTAGTGGCCCCCACTGAATTGACGACGATGTTGCACCTGAGCTTATTCTTCCAGGCATCTTACGTTGGAGGACCGTCCCGCGCGGCACTGGCTGATGTAGGCAGCCCCTATCAGAGGCAGTTGGGCCGGTAGCCAAGCAATCTTGCATTTGCCATTTCTGACAAGTAAGATGGAGGTCAGTTGGACTATTGCTGAAGAATCTGCCAGTTGGAGGACTGGACACGGCTCCCATGCGAGGTGGATCAGATGAAATCTTAGGGTTTCACAACGGCTGACTTCATCTGCGCTTGCCGTCGGTTCATGAATCCCGATACGAGCCCTGCATGCCAGGGCGGCTGGTATATATAAGATTGCGCTGGTTGATGCGCTGATGAAGAGTGGTTTGATCTTTCTCTTTTCCTTGGTATTCCCAGTAATATCGCCACACCCGTTTGCTTGAGGCTCCCCTTTTGGTCGACCTCACCTCGTTATCCTCTGATATCACGACGACCCTGTTTTACATTCCGTACCTACAATATAAATGCTGGCCGAATCCGAAACCCCCATCAGCAACGGGGATCCGCCGAAGCTTCGGGCTGCCTGTGAGAATTGCCGACAGTCAAAAGTGAAATGTAATCTATCTGGGAAAGACACCTGCATTCGCTGTATGCGTCATGGGTTGCCCTGTCGATACCGCGTCGCCAATCGTTCTGGGAAGCCAAAAGGAAGCAAGAACCGTGCCACGCTGCGGAAACTTGGGCAGTTGCAAGACGAGAAGAAGCCTACAATACCTGCCAACGGATGGGCAGAACCAGTAGCCAAAGGACAACCGCCTCGTATCAGCTATGATGACAATGGTGTCGACGCAACGGTTCGTTCATCTTGTTCTCGTTAACAATCAATATTCTAACGATTATAGAGTACGCAAAGCACCAGCCCAGCCAGTCAGTCCAGAAGCCCCGATAGCCACAGGGCGAATTTGGCTGACTCGACGTTGCTGACCGATCAGACCATGGAGTATCCATCAATAGGGGAGACGCTGGCCCCAATGTTCAATCCCTCCATGTCGCCGCCATTCCTCCCGAAGGAGTTCATATCCCGGGGCTTCACCGGCTGTCCGCTCGCCGTCCACATCCCCAACCCACTACAGCCCTGTGATTGCACCAACACACTCTTATACAACGTAAACCAGATCCGGACCATGCTGGCAGAGAGCTTGCGTCTACGACTGGACCAGATCCTACAGGGCATCAACATCGCATTGACCGCGTGTCGGACCTTTCTTCGATGCCCCAATTGTCACAAAGACCACACAAACCTACTGTATTCAGTATCCATACTGGATACTACACTCCAGCTCTTCGAGTATTGGACCTCGTATGAGCTCTCATCCGCGCCTCCTGGCGACCACAACATGATCCTTCCCTACGGCGAGTACGAGATGGGCCCGGACGAGACGCGCCGGATCCGCCGGTACCTCATCCGAGGTCGAGCCCTGCAGTGCAGAGAGGTATTGGGGCTACTAAAGGACGCAGTCGAAATGAGCCGACATCTGACTCCCGAGCTCCGAGAGCTCAATGGGACGGACGGACTGGAGGTGGAATGGTTCCAGCAGATGCTGGGGGGGTATGATACGATGGTGGAGACGATTTTACGAGCGATGTCGGATAATCTGTGCACGTAGATTAAGCTTGAATCCTTCAATTACTTTATACATCGTTATGTAGTATGCGACCATTCGTAGGGTGACTTATTCCCTTCTAAACATAGTAAGTAGTTAAGTAGTCCAGGAACCAACCGAGCGGCATTCGGCAGACAAAAACGAGCCTCGGCATATCCAACTCCGCATTTGTAGATCCTCTTATATCCATCCCCACCGCACCTCCAACTACCTTACTTCCACTCAACTACACTCACCGAACTTTAACCTCACCCACCCAAGCCCCAGCTCAGCTCAAACTAGAAACAAATATAAAATGAACCGCCTCACCCAAATAACCTCGCACCTCAACTACCCCCACGGCCTACTAGCCAACCAAGTGGCCATCATCACCGGCGCGGGCCAAGGCATCGGGGCCGAAACCGCCCGGTTGTTCGCCAACGAGGGAGCGAAGGTGATTATAGCTGATATAGATGGAGGTATGTCCTCTATACCCTGTTACAGAATTCGCCAATGAGCAACGAGTATGGAAAAAAAAAAAAAAAGTGAACTAGGGATATATGCTGATGGGTAGAATAAATAGAGAAAGCCTCCGCCGTCGCAACCTCCATCAACAACGCCTTGAACGATATCAGAGCCCTCGCCGTCCCGGGGGACATCCTCAACGACACGTACATCGAGGAGCTCGTCACCAAGGCCGCGGAATTTGGGGGTGGGAAAATACACATTATTGTGAATAATGCGGGGTTTACCTGGGATGGGGTTATACATAAGGTATACCTCTCCCCCTTCCCCCTTCTCTCCTCTCATACAATTATCCTCTATGCTATACTTAGTAGTATACTACATGATGTGATGATGATGATGATGATACTGAAGAGTATACAGATGACAGACACCCAATTCACAACGATGCTCAACATCCACGCCACAGCCCCATTTAAACTCATCCGCGCAGCAGCAAAATACTTCCGTGTGAAGGACGGGGAATCTCGCGTGGTGATTAATATTAGTAGTACGAGTGGGGTGCATGGCAATGCGTACGTTTATACCCTTCCTACCCTCTTCCCCTATCCCCCTATCTGTTCACCTCTTTCCTCTACATACAATCTAATTTTAACACTGTGTAATATGGCGCAGCGGCCAAGCCAACTACGCCGTCGCCAAAGCAGGCATAACGGGGCTGACGAAGACCATCGCGAAAGAATGGGGACCTGCGTTTGGAGTCCGGGCGAATACCATTGCATTTGGGTTCGTGAAGACCCGGCTTACTGCGGCGAAGGAGGAGGGGGCGTTTATTACCATGGCGGATGGGACGAAGGTCGCGTTGGGGATTCCGGGGAAGCAGTTGGATAGTAGACGGACCGGAACTACTACTAGTAGTTCTGATGAGAAGAAGAAAAATAAGGGAGGTAGTGATTATCCTGATATTCCGCTGGGACGGCCGGCTAGTCCGGAGGAGGCGGCGAGGGCGGTGTTGGGGGTGGCGAGTCCGTTGTTTTCGTATGTGAGTGGGGAGATGATTAGGGTTACGGGGGGGAGGAATATGTGATCTTCTCTTTTTCTATTTCATTTTATTTCATTTTATTCATTTATTATTGGTATATTGTTATATGGAATCTATTGATTGGTTGGTCTATAAATGAGTGGATGGTTATTGGATGTGTGAAGTGGAAGTATGTGTGTGGTGTAATGCGATATCAGAAGTCGCATTCATATAGTTCAGTTGTGGTTTGGTAGATGGTATCTATCATACATGGTACCATAATGGTACAAAGCCAATGGATTTCTTTTCGTTTGGTCGTAAATCATCACTGGTCCAAAATGTAAGGCTGCGAGAAAATCTGACCAGGCCCAGCCAGGTCACACTCAGAAAAACCATAGTATACTGCATATAGACAATGACTGGTTGAGACAGGCCTGCTCACCCGCCTGGTGGCTGCCTCCCTGTCGGACAGCTGGCCCCTCTCTTCAGGGGGTAGTCGGGAGGGTCCAGACCAGACTCCAGAGTCATTTTTTTTCTCGCAATAGGCGCCGGCTGATGGTTGCATCAGCAGCATTGACTGGTTGTGCTAGACTGCTACAGCATAGCAGGGAACAGACGGCGACTCGCCAGTGGACCACAGCTTCACGTCGTGGGTCTCACTGGAAGAGCGTGTCATCAGGCCCAAGTCAGTGTACCAGCAGAGAGGGAGAGAGATAGAGAAAAAGCATCGTCTAGTCCTCGTCTATTGCAGATATCGTATCCAAGGATGTTCCACCTTGGTTCACGCGGTTGCACCGAAAACACATTCCAGCCTCTCACCACAGCCAGCCAGTCAGACTGAATATCAGCCTGGCGGCTTCCCCCTAATAGGGAGACAGTCCGAAATCAAAACTATTTATCGACAGATTATGTAAAATGAAGTAGTAGTAGTAGTAGAGTAGTAGGAAAAACGAAGAAGAAGAGTAGTCCTCAACGACTCAAGGTATCATCCCAAAAGAGCGACCAAGTGTGCCATCCAACTCCTAGCGGTAAAATTCGACAATCAAAATGCAAATGCTTCGTCTCTGCTCCGGGGTATTTTTCTTTTCTTCTTTCCATGACAATGGCCGATGGTGAAAAACGCCAGCAACACCACCCAGTAACACCAAACACAAGTATATCACCAGAAACGCAAGAGATCCTCCCAATGTGGTGACAAATTAATAATAACATAGCCACGGTTTCTGCCTTCCAACGGACTCGCAGGGCGAGCTGACAGAACTCCGTTTCCTCAAAAGGGCAATTTATGCCCGACGGCTGAGCTCCAGTGGATGTCAATCCGGGTATAATATCCAAACTCCAAGGAATGGAAGCCAACGGTGTAAAGAGTGGGAAATAGAAAAGGCGTATGTCCAGAAAGGAAATCGATCTCCTCGGATTCCCTCCGGCGGAAATAATACAATGTCGCTGGAATAATGCAAGGCGGAGATGATCCAAGAATAGGTGTAATAAAGATCCAAATCCAGTGGGATGTAATATCGAAAGAATTGCCGTAAATCGTAAACCTGCGTTAAGTGGGCCTTTTTTCGTTTTTTTGTTGTTATTCTTTTCTTGCTTTCCCTTGTTAGGGTGGGACGGTGAGGTCCAGTTTAGCAAACGGGAATTGGAATGGTAAAAGGGGCATGGGCAAGATGCGGCTCCGGGATACCACCGCAAGAGACAGGGTCCATAAAGTCATCTTTGCATTCCAGTCCCGGCTCCAAGCCCACGGAAGACATCGACGAGACACTGTCAAGGTCGGGGTAGCCTTCCGTGAAGGATGAAGCATCCGAGACGGCAGACTCCGAAAAGTCGGAGTACTGCGATGACCCAGAGGAGACAGAGGAGGTTTGGGTGTTGAAGGCGTCCACGGGAACGGACACCGGAACCGGACCGTTGACGTAGTCAACCGGCACCGGTCCGCTAGCAGACCAGGGGGCCATGGGGTTCATGGTAAAGCGCGGGCACTCCAGGATCAACTGGCGAAGCTCCGGGATGGTAATCCTCTTGGAGGGGTCGCACTCAAAGATGCGGTTCAGGATGCAGATCATCTCATCCGACAGTGGCAGGATGGACTTCAGGAAGTAAGGATCCTTGAGATAAGCTCGGAACGTGGAGTCCTCGATTGAGGCACGTTTCCAGGGGTTGCGACCGCAGGTCAAGTTGACGAGGATAACACCTAGACTCCACACATCATTGGGTGCCGACTCATAGCACGACATGGGACGGGGGTTTGGTTGCTGGCATTCTTTGGTATCATCTTCGTCAGTGAATGTTTCATCGGAATGTTTCGGGTGGGGGGAAGGAAGGGCATTCACGCACCTGGTGACATGTAGAAAGTGGATCCGCAACCAAAATCCGACGTCAGGTAGTCCGTAGTAGCCAGGCCAAAGTCAGCAAGCTTGACCGTCAAGCCCTGATCCGTTACCAAGATGTTTTCCGGCTTGAGGTCCCGATGGTAGATTCCCAGGGAGTGGCAGAACTGGACGGCATCCAGGATTTGAAGGAAGACACGCTTGACCAAGGGGTCATTGCCCACGAAGTTGCCCTTTTCAGTAATACTGGAGAAGAGATCGCCCTCGGGACAGAACTCAATCACCACGTAGGTGCAATCGACGGAATCCATAATGCGAACCAGGGATACCACATTGGGATGTTGGCTGGCCAGATGGTGGAGCTTGATTTCCCGCTGCTGGAACTTGAGCTGCCGGGGATCCAGCCCGGTCTTGTTGAGGGCCTTGACAGCATACAGAACATTGGTATGAATGTCGACGGCCGTGTACACCACTCCATAGGCACCGACGCCTAGGATGCTGGTGAGTTCCAGACGGTTGGCCAAGAGAAATCCTAGACGGTCTTCCGGAGCATAGCAACGGGAGATGGGCGGAGAAGGAGGCGGAGTGGGGGGCATGGGGGGATACATGCCGTACAGGGGAGAAGGGGGTAGCATGAGCATGAGGGAAGGTAGATTTTGGGATGGGCTTTTTCTTGCTTTGGTGGATTGGTGACAGGCAAGTAAGACTCGAAGCACGCACCGGCACTTGAGTCTTTCCCTGAAGAAGAGTATAGTATTGGAAGGGAGGGGGAAAGGAGAGGGAAGGAGGGGGAGGTAAATGGTAGTTTCTTGTCTCAACGGCTGTAAGGGGTGGTTTGTTGATATAAATCCTGGGGGTCCAAAATCCGGTGGCGGGTTTCAGGTAGTCATCCAAACCAGTGAGCAAAGTACGGGATAGCCGGGAGTGAGAGAGAAGAGCACCAAAGGAGAGTCGCCAGTCTTTCCTTAATAGAAGATTTTTTTTTTCACTTGTTCAAGGAGCCATTGAAGGAATGCAGTTGATCAACTTGGATAAGCAATCAAATCCTAGGGAATGTCCAACGGAAGGCCGTGGGTAGGATGGTGATAGTAGTAGTAGTAGTAGTTGTGGTGGTGGTTGAAGATGAGTAGTAGCGGGAGTGGCAGTGGCAGTTGGTGGTGGTATTATTTTTGGCTTATTTGGGGGAGAGGGGGGCAAGTAGTCCAGGGAAGTTGCACAGCCAGGGATGGATGCAGTTCCAGGGAAGCAGTCAGATGGGGGCCAGCGGATAGTTAATATGGCCGTGGGGGGGAAGAGGGAAAGGGAAGGGAAGGGGGGTGGAGGGTATAAAAGGGGGACGTGCAGTGAAGGATAAGGGGGGGCAAATGATATATATGCAAAACAAGTCCCAGAAACTATATCACGAAGAAGAGGAAGAGAAGCCGAAGAAAGAAGAAAAGCAACAAAAATGCAAGACGAAGATCAATGAGTTGACGGGAACTTGTCGGAAAGAGGAAAAACGATTAAACACGCCAGGGAGGACGAGGACGGAATAGGAAGAGACAAGAGAGGAAGAAGAGAGGTGGAAGTATAGGGATTAAGACGGAGCGCGGAAGGCCAGGTAAAAATAAGTAAAAATAAGATTAATATGGCGATGATGGACGGGGCGGCGATAAGAGAGAAAGAGACTCTCAGTCCAGAGAGTCAGAATGAGGGAGCCAGCCAGATCCATCCATTCTCAGCAGGAAATGGCGAAAAATAGGGACCCAGAAAATCCCCAGGGACCCAGAAAAAAAAACAACACCACCACCACCAGAAGAAATTAAAATGAGTCGAAAGTAAAATAATAAAATTATTATTATTCCCTTAACAGAAAATCAGAAAATAATAACTCCTAATAATTAAATTCGATGAAATAATAATTATCCTCCCTTAATAAAACTCATAATAGTAACACCTAATCATCATCATCAGCAGCAGCAGCAGCATCATCACCCATCCATAACACGAATAATAATCCTTCCTCCCCAACTGCCACTAAGCCTGGGACCACTCGTGGCCAGAGCCACTCTCACTCACTCCATTCTCATCTCCATGAGCAAGAACTGAACTGGAACTTACTGAAAGTCTCCATTACCTCAGAGGCTGCAGCCCACGAATCATCATCTCGAAAAAGCTGGCCGCCATTCAGAACTTATTACACCCAGGTGACCGACAGACCGACCGACCCCCCCTTCTCTCTCCTACAACCATCCACCATCCACCGTCCATCCATCCATGCCCCCCTAAAACTCACTATGTAACTCCCCCGTTACATCTTCAGCCTGCAGACCAGAAACCCAAACCTCGCCACCGGATTGGTCGGGGGTATGCGTCCAGCTGGGTGGAGTTGGCCAACTCCACCCAACCAACCCAAGCTAACATGTATGATGCTTAGACTAGTTTAGGGTCCAGCTACAAATAGGAAAGGTGTATGTGAGTGTGTGTGTGCCAGTGTGGATGAGCAAAGACGGAACCAAACCAAACTGCCTTTCCCTCTTCCCCACTAGAGACACTGACCGACAAGGCCGCGACCGTGAGATCCAGGCGGCGAGAAACGAAACCAAGAATAACTAGCACGCACCCGCGGCGTAAGCTGAGGAGAGGAGGCCTAGGAGGATCCATGAATCGACATCATTAGTATCCACTGGGTCCTGACTAACCAGCTTTGTTTCTTGCCATAACCAAAGTAGTAGATTAGATACCACGCGATTGCTGGATTCTCTCCACACAAACACTGTGACTGACTGAGTTGACAGACTATCTCTAGTTAAGGGGGGGATTGTCCACGATCTGGCAAGGCGAAAAAGAGACACCTCCCCTTACTAGTCGGGTGGATCGGTTGACTAGATACTGTGCTATGGAGGGGGGAGTGGAAAGGGAAAGGAGGGCCAAATGGGCACGAGTGCGTGGAGGGAAACCGAACCTCTGGCAGCACCGCACACCCCCTTTCAGTTTAGTTAGTTAGGAGGGTGACAAGGCTCTAAGCTTGGATGCCTGGACCTGACCCTACAGTATACAGAGGGAGTATAGTAGTAGTGGCCTGAAATCTATCCACCCATCCACCCATCCACCCATCCATCCATCCATCCATCCATCCCTACAGTACAGCCTACATGATAATAATAATAGACAATAATCCTCAAATGGAGTGAGACTCAATGAATGGGAAGAGCTCCGCGCAGACCCGATGAGCAGACGGCTAATGCCGCCGCCGTCGTGGCTGTACGGGTTTAGTGTCCGGTCCCCGACCAGGCAAAAAGCAAAGAAAAGAAAAACAAAAAAGAAAGGTCTATCCCCAAAGATCGACGATCAGAGAAAGTTGGAATGGAAACCTGAGAAGGCAACGCAGAACAGACCGCAACTGAAGGGCGGTGATTTGCTGCCTCCAGCACACAGTGCTAGGTAATGTTTGTTCCAGGAGGCGGTGTGAGTGTAGGAGGGCGAGTTGTGACAGGTCATTCGGGTGCAGATTGGCTCCACTCACACTTTTTCCAATGCCAATGCTGTTCCAGGCTGGCCCGAGCACATCCCCTCGTCATTGGCTGAATGCGGTAACGCCC